TCACTCTCACACACACACACACACACACTCACTCACTCACTCACTCTCTCACACACACAGAGACACACACTCACACTCACACACACACACATACACTCTCTCACACACACACACCGCAGAGCAATGCCTAAAAGCTGCTATGTGACAAGGTGTACAGCAAACAAGCTTAAAAACCCAGAACTACGTTTTTATAAGCGGTCAACCCAAAAAACGAGCGTTTAGGACACAGTTGTAGATGTCGGGGTATTTCACGTTGGGCCATTCAGTTAGATCATTTCTCAAACAAAAGGAAGGTAAGGAAAAGGGACACTGACATAGACCAATAGAATTTAGTTTCTTAATATATCTCCTCCTCTCAGATTCACATCGGGTGGTGAAATAATACTTTGACATGGTTAAAAACAATGAACAATGAATGTTTCCTGTCTCCGATTACGTTTCCATCCAGCGGGCGCAGTTCTCAGAGTAATAGACACGTTGCGCTCTACTTTTGTGTCCTAAACGCTTGTTTTTTGAGTCGACAGCTTATAAAAACGTAGTTCTGGGTTTTTTAGCTTGTTTGCTGTACACCTTGTCACATAGCAGCTTTTAGGCATTGCTCTGTTTTTTGTTATAAGTCAGAAATGACAAGGAGGCAGCTTCCCGCAATAGAAAGTCAATGGAGAGCGTTGGCTTGTTTTCCCCCCGGTGGGCGTGGTTTTCAGATTATGACGCGGGTCGCTCTGTCTCTATTGCATGAAGCGCTATATAAATAAAACAAGACAAGTACAGTATTGTGGAATCTAATCAGCTGCAGGTTTAATCCGAGAGAGAGACTGAGTGTGAAGTGTAACGCGTGTTTCAGGCTGCTGGATCTGTCTGCTGCTCTGCGCTATGAGGACGTGGACATGGACAGCTGTTTACTAGAGGAGAGACCCAAACGTGTGGTTCTGCCTGATGAGCTGGAGGCGGAGCCGACCTCTGACCCCGCCACGCGACCCCTGTCACCCCCGGTGGAGCTGAGCGCGCTCACACCCGGCAGCAGCAGCGTGAGTCACAGACACACACACTCACTCACTCACTCACTCACTCACTCACTCGCTCACACACACGCACGCACGCGTGCACGCACACACACACTCTCACACACACACGCACACACTCTCTCACACACACACACACACACTCTCACACACACTCACACACACACTCACTCAC